CCCCACACCACGCGGGGGCAGGTGGGGAGCTGGACTCAGAGCACTCCAGCGGGGAGTGGCGCCTAGACGCCTTGGGGAAGGGCATGACACCTACTAGTTCTTGTATTTGACGAAGAATTCCTCTGCTTCCATGAACTGCCCTGAGGGGAGCTGGAGAGAGAGGGAGTGGGGGGTTAGAGCTGCTGACACCCTGTACTCAAATCCCTGAACACCCCGCCCCTCCACCAAAGCACCCAGCTCCACCCTCCTCCCCTGTGGCCAGACTGCAGCCAGCACCCCCTAGAGGAGAAAGGCCCCATATCCCAGTCCCTGGCCCCCTCTTGCAGGACCTGGTGCCCAGGAGGCATCAGACCCATCCTCACAGCGTGAGCTCTCACCTCCTTCTTCACCACCCGCATGGACAGCACCTTGTCTACGATGGCAGCATCCTCCTCGCTGGGGTTCTCCTGAGGGCAGGGATGGGAGAGATTGGGGGAGTGGGAATTACACGCACACCCTGCCTTCCAGACTGCAGACTGGGCCCTAGCTGCAGCTGCATCACACTTCACAGCCCAAACACCCTTGGGGTCCCTCTCACCCCACCCCCAGGCGTACACAGGAAAGGTGTAGGGAGCAGTGGTCCTGCTCCCCGCATCCCCCTGGGGCCCAGGCAGGTTGGGGCAGGGGACTCACCACGAAGAACTGCATGGAGGGCAGGGTCTCTCCCTCTGGCTCAGGTGCAGGGGGCTGTGGCGCGGGAGGCTGCTCGGGCCGCACTGGCCCCGTCACGTCCAGCTCCTCATCCTCCTCGTCGTCCGTGATCTTGATATCCAGATCCTCGGTATATTTCTTCCGCTTCACTTGCCGGTTGGAGCGACGTTTCTGGGGGTGCGGGAGTGGGGCACGTGTTAGAGACACCCCAGGACAGACACTGCACACAGAGCCCGGACAGCGCCCCCACATACACACATAAGGTGTTAGAGGGCAGCGGGACAGACACACACACCCACACACACGGGGTGCAGGGCACAGCCCCCTGCCCCACTCACTCCCCCCCAGCAGAGATCACACTGCTCCCCTCCCAGGCAGGGAACCCAAGTGTCCGGGCAGCCTGTGTACCCAGGTCCCCCCGTGGGCAGTGCATCAACCCCCCCATACACCACGCACACCCCAGTCTCCTCACCTGGACGCTGCTTTCCTCCTCCTCGCGGGGGGATGGAGCTGGCATGGCCTCAGTGTCAGAGTTATCAGAGGAGGCGTTCCGCTTCCGTTTCTTCCCCACTACGGGGGTGATGGTGCTGGGGGTGGGTGGAGGGGATGACAGGGGACAGACAGGCAGAGTGAGGGGGGGCTGGGCTCACACCCCATTGCGGGGGAGCGCGGGGGAAGGGAGGGCAGGGCTCCGCTCTGCTGGGCAGACAGAGCCGCTGCCCACCTCTCGCCAGCATCCAGCACAGCTCCCACCCCAGCCCAGATCTAGCCCCAACTCCTCTGGCACTGGCTGCAGTTCCCAATACAACCCCCACCAGGGACCAGCCACCTGCCTGCACCCACCAAGGGCAAGACGGGGTAGACGGGACCAGAGGGGCTGGGGAAAGGTGGGGTGGGGCTGGAACAGGGGAAGATGGGGAAACTCTCCAGCCTTCAACCCTGAGTTTCCTGTGTCTCTGGGCTGGGGGGGTCAAGTCTCCCCTGGGGGGGACTGCATGATGAGATGGGGGCTCTGGACTGGGGGGGACTGTATGAGGGGTCTCACCTGGGCTTGCTGCGCCCCTTGCTTTTGCCAGAGCCCCCCTGGCCCCGGCCCTTGCGAGGCCTCTCCTCCTTGGGCCCCCCACGCTCGCCCTTGCGGCGCCGCTTGCGTTCGCCCTCCTCCTCAGGCCGCACACTGGGCAGCTCGTCCTCGTTCAGCACCCGGGGGATGTTCTGCTCGCCCCGAGCCCGCGCCCGGGCGATGGCTTCCGCCACGATGCGGTTCGCCTTCTCCTGCTTCTTCTGATGCTCCAGCTTGCGGGTCTCCTCCGAGCCACCGCGTGTGCCATGGCTGGACAGCGCCGCCACCTCGCTGCTGCTCAGTACCTTCACCACGGAGAGCCCAGGCGAGCCGCCCTGGGACGAGCCAGCCTGGGGGGACGAGACCATCACCCCCTGACCCAAACTCCCCTCAGACCTCGCCTTCCCCCCAGGGAGCCGCCCTGGGACGAGTGGCTTAGGGGAAAGTCACATAATAGGGATGGGCCCAGGGAGCCTTCACAGACACCTTCACAGCCCCCCACCCTTGGGCAGCTCCCCCTAAGCAGGCTCCATTCCCCAGCTCACCTGCGGCTGCAGCACAACCTTGAGTGGCACCGTCAGCCTCTGTCCCGGGCCGCCCACCACCTGGGCCTGCTGAACGGAAGAGACCGCCAGGGGAGGCTGCTGCCCTGAGGCACCTGCTGCCGGGGGCTGCTGCAGCAGCTGGATCTTCTGAGGCCCCCCAGGCTGACCCCCGGTGGGCTGCTGCACCTGCAGCTGGATGGTCACCACCTTGGCGGGCTGGCCCGGCGCCCCCTTGGCCTGGCTCAGGGCCGCCAGCTGGTTGCCCTGCAGCACGATCTTCCCCGGCAGGTTGCCCAGCACCACGTGGCGCTGCCCGGGGGGGCCGCCCCCACCCTGCGGCTGCTGGAGCACCAGGGTGATGCGCTTCGACTCGCCCTGTGGGGGAAAGAGCAATGGGGGTTAGACACCAGCCTCCCCCCAGTGCCCCTACCCCACACCCTGCTCAACAGCCCCCCACCCCAGAGCGCCAGCAGGATGCGTGTTGACTCTTTCACACTGGGGTCAGACATGCCTGCCCCCCAGCCCCCTTACCTGAGCAGGGGCGGATGTCAGGGTCACAGCAGGTTTCAGGGGTGTTCCGCCTGCAGCCCCCGTGCCCCCTGCCGGGCTTTTCACGGGCTGCAACACCAGCTGCTTGACGGGCCGACCAGGCTGGACCAGCCGGTGCACAGTGGTGGGGCCTCCCGAGGGGGACACCTTGGTGGCCAGCACGGCATTGCTGGAGACGATGGAGACACCAGGGCGCAGCGGGGTGCCTGTCAGTACCTTGGCAAAGGTCACCTTGCCCCCATTGGCCGCCCCCAGCGCCTGGGGCTGCGCCTGGATCTGAGCCACATGGGCCCCCGTCACCGAGCCGCCCGCCGGGGCCTTCAGGATGACAATCTTGGGGGCTGACAGGGGGGCCGCAGCCTGCGGCAGCTGCTGCCCCCCAACAGAGGAGGACGACACCACGGCAGTGCTGGCACTGGACACGCCCATAAAGGGGTTCCCCTGCCTCAGCACCTCCTGCCCCTGGGGGAGCCCTGGCTGTGGAGGGTCCAGCTTTGGGGGGCCGGGCGTGGGATTCGGCTGCCCTGGCAGCGTCTCTGGCTGGACAGGCTCTGCGGCAGGGGGTGGCGTCGGCTGGGAGGGGTCCAGTGCCACCGGCAGTCCCAGCGCCTCTTCTATGGGGTCAGGCGGTGCCTGGGCAAAGCCTTCGTCCGTCAGGGAGTCCAAGCCGAAAAGGTTGGGGTCGTCGAACAGGTCCATGATGGGGTCAGCCATGGCTGGGGGGGGGGGGGGGGGGGAGGGGGGGGCTGTCACAGTGGGGAGGGGTTTGGGGCTCCCCTCCCCAATGAGTGTCACGATCGGGGCCTCCGCGGGTCACGTCAGTCAGCACCAGGCCTCATGGAGAAGGGAGAGTAGGAGTCCAGGTCCGGCTGCATGGGAGACACGGGAGGGGGGGTTACTGGATGCACCTCCAACATCTCAATCCCTGGCTCCCAGCTAGAGAGGCCAGATGCTCCCACGTACATGCCCATCCTCACTCCTGCCCCACAGCCCCCT